TTTATCACTTAATAAATTTGATTCATTAGAAAAAAACTAATTAGCCACACAATTAATTGTATTCGGTTAAAAATAATTAAAAGAGTAAATAACAACAGAGATAATCAGCAAAATTATGTTAATAATTATATGAACAAATACGATTTAATGATTGAAAAAACTACGTTAATTATGTTAATAATTGACGTACTTAAAAATGTTAAAAATAAACATAATTATTAATTTATGTTAAAAAGTATGTTATGTATTTTATAATTCTATAGGTTATTTAACATATTTTAATAAATTGTAACTTTAAGAATAAAAATAATAAGCTAATGTCTATTGCAAATGATGGTCAGATTACAATGTGAAATTTTTAATAATTTAAAATTTGTCAATTTATTAAATATCAGAATATAAACAACGATATATGTGTAATTTTATCTTTTAGAATAAAACAAAAGCTATATTTTTGCTCGTGATTAATAAATACATATAAATAACATGATAAATAAACTCCATAGTTATTTATTTTGAAAAGAAAATAATATTAAGTTATTTCAAGCAGACCTAGCAAAATATATGCAGACACATAAGAAAATATCTTTATTTTCAAAAATTTGATACTCGATTATATTTATGACAACTTTTGTTTAAACTTTTATTTTTGGAATCTAAAAAAATATATCTGTTAATTTACCAATTCATTCTATTTCTGCTACTTAAAAAAAACATTGAGTCAAAAAACAATAAGATCATATCCCCAAATTATTATAAAATTCAATTGGTATAGTAAATTTTTGTACACATTGTATATATAAATTGTTCTTTGTTTAATATATTATAATATATAATATTATTTATTAAAAAAAATTAAAGGTAATTTATATATTCTATAATAATTTTGTTTTAAAAAAACGCATCAACACTCAGCCTTGGACAAGTGATTAAAATGAACCTCTTTTGTAGCGTTTCATAACATTTACAATAATATGTTTTTGATCCATTATGTGTATGATCACATTTAGAATATAATCTTTATTCACAACATTTTGTCAAATACATAATCTTATGGGAAGGAAATTCTCCTCCACGATTATAACAAACTAAAGTACATTAAAAAACAAAAAATGAATTTTTCTAATGTATATTCTGTAATGTAAATTGTAATCTATATTTTTAAGAATTGCTTGGGCAATTAGTTTTGATTGCATTATTTGGGTGTGCAAAATTAAAAAATTATAAAGAATGAAACACCTTTTAAAAACACTTATACATATAAACGTGTAATAAAAGGTGAAAGATTATAAAAAAAATTATCGGAAGAAACTTTAATAATTGCAATATTTAAAAATTAAATTTTTTTTATAGCGTGTATATAAAATTAAACCTTAGAAAGTATTGTACATCAAAAAAACTGTGGAAAGAAGAGTGATCTATTGATGGATCGATGAAAAAAATTGGTTGAGTAAGAAATAAGTATTTATAGTAATAAAAAGTCGGAATACTATAGAAGAGGAATAACTAATGCTAAAAATTCCGTACGTCATTATGATATTTTTAATATACATGATGTTTTTACACGCAAGAAACACATAATGGAAGGAAAAAAGTACACAAATATAATAATTTTATCACAATTTAATAAAATTTCTCCTTAAATTGTATGTACAAAAAATTTCAAATGCATGTGTATGAAAATTCAGACATTTTTTGTTTTATAATGGATATAATATTGTTTTTTTGGTGTAAGATTTTAAGTGTGAATAAATAAATACGTATTTTGTTATAATAATAGCTATAGAAAAACTTCATAAATAAAATTTTTTTGAAATTATTGTCTTATTCAAATTAAAAAACTATAGCCCAGTGACACTTGTCCTTAATATACACGATGTAAATTTGTTGATAGTATTTAATTTTAAAAATTGGTGGATTACATCAAAAGCAAAATGAATTCCTATTTCTTTTATTATTCCTGATTAGTGATTTTTTGATTTAGAAGTATAATATATGAATACATTTCTATTAACTTAAATTAGTATGAGATTGATATCTAATAATTTAGTATGGTATTTTTTTTGGAGGATTTATTAAAAATTAAAAAGTAATTGTTACTTTTATGTGCAAACGTGTATAAAAATTGAAGGGCATGAAACAGAACTTTTTAGATAATAATTTGTTGTTAATTATGAATAAATGGTCAGCAAAAAATGTTCATCAGAGTAAATAAGATACTCTTATTATTAAATTTTTCGTGCTAACTTCTAAACAGCAATTTTATTTTTTCTATCATCAATAATTTTTTATACTATTACTAATTAATTAAAAACTATTGGATATAACTATAAGGAAAACAGTTCTGAATATTTCAATTGTATCATCTATTTAAATACCAAGAGTTACATAAAATGAATAATATTTCTTTTAAAATAATTTATTAAGATAAAAAAATAATTAAAAACACAAAAAAATTGTTTTTAAATTATTACAGATTTTGATTTTTAATATTTTAAAAATAATTAGTACAAAGTATCATTTTTAACCTATTTTTTTGGTATTTTCAAGTTGATTTTTTGAAAGTTTATAATAAAAAAATTTGAATTTGTTTCCATACCTTTTGGCTCAACTTCAAGATTGAAATTTACATTATTAAATAGAAAATTTTATGAAAAAAAAAAAAAGTACAGTTAAGATTAATATGCAGTCAAGAAATTGTATAATTAATCTTAAATGTAAATTTATCAGAAAAGCTCAATTTTTTTTTTTGTATTTCTATTGTAATAGACCATTTAAATAGAAATCATTTTTATGTAATTTTTGATGTTTAAAAATATTCTACAATTGAAATATTCAGAACATAATTAATTTTAATGATTTACTTTAACTAAAAAAACCAATCAAAATGTTGTTAAAAAAATCTACTCAATTGATTATATTATAAAATTTGATTATAATTGTAAACATTTTTTATTAAATTCAGATGAAAATAAAAATAATTTTTTTTAGATTTATGATTTATATAGCAACATGTTATCAACAAATTTGGAATATTATAGACTGTTAGTAACACACAAATAAAGTTAAAAAATGAATATATTACAAAGTAAAATTATTTAATTTTGTAGTTGAAACCTTTTATAATATCAAACCTAATTCGACAATAAATACTTTAAGAACCTTAAAAATGAATTATTTTAATTGTCTATATGGACAATGTGAGCTAAGTAAATTTTTCATTCGTAAAGTGAACATTTTTTTAATTTTTCAGGGTAATATCTTTAATTAGATACTAGTTGTGATCATTTGATGTATCGTTAAAAAAAGTTGATCAAGTGAAGGCCGAAAAAATAAATGAGAGCCATAAAAAATAATCACTTAGTAAAAAAACTTTAATATGGAAAAGAAATTTCTTCAAACAAGGGAAGACTACAGTAACGTGGTCCTTGATATTTAATAAAGTTATTGAATCTATATGAGATAAAAATAAAATGATTTAAAAAATTTTTTCTAACTCAAAAACTTTTGTAATGCATTTTGAAATAAAATAAAATACAAAATCGAAAATTTTAACGCAAAATTAGCATATGGTAGCCATTCACCATGAAGACAAAATGAAGTACGAAATTTTTTTTTTTTTACATATTAAAGTTTATTACTTAAGCTATAAAAGTGTCAGTATTTCTAAAACACTTTCAAAAATTAAGTTGAAAAAGTTGTTATTTTAAATTCCCCCCGTGGACAGGTAAAGGGTCAGATTTATAAAAAAAAATATACAAAAATACCTCACGTATCTATATAACAAAACATTATATTGATTTGGTCATTTTTAAAAAAGTTATGATGGCACTTTAGGTAAAAAAAATCGGTCGGTGAGAATTGAGAATAAGTGGTAACAAACACAAAAAAAAATAATAATAATAACACATCATCACAAAATAACACATTTAGCTTTGCATTGAAGCTAAAAAGTAGTGTTTATTAATATCACATCGGATGTCAACACAATTTACCATTTATAAAAATCATACTCGTTTAATTGTTTTTGATAATAATTTGTTGTAAATAACTGGTTTTATCAATCAAATTAAACATAAAATATTGATTAAAAAGAACTTCATTAAAAATATTAATTAATTCAGTTTATTAGTAGATGAGGCTAAACGTTCAACTAAATTGTTGTATAAATACGTATAAGCCGTGTACAACACGTCACACATTCACTTAATTCGATAATTAATCAATAGTAATAGTATATAACCAATAGTATATATATATATCGGTAGTAATTATTATTGACAATATACATGTAGTTCCAAATTGGAATTTAATGGAAGTCGGACTCCAAGACGAACACGGCGCTGCATATACGTCGGTAGTAATTATTATATACCTACCGTGTTATAATTAACCTACCCACACCATAATATATGGTAGGGTTATAATATATTCCCTTCGAATCATATTATGTGTACTATAATTTTCTGGAACTCTTTGAAATTTTTTGGTGGTCCGTGTCAGACGATCTGTCTTTTAGGCCGTCCCGAATATTATTTCGTTACATGACTATCTAAACATATTAGACACTCTAGGTCTTCCAGTTTTACTCGTCACAGAGGGCATTCTTTACATAATTTGAATTTGCAGTACCTTCAAGTAAAAGTGTTACTAATAGCTACAAAATAAAATTCTCGTTAATGCATTCTATTTAATATAAATGATATTTTAAAAGCAACCACCAAAACATGCTATTGAATATAGACAAAAGTTTTTCATTACATTTCTTTGATTAGCAGTAGTATCAATACTACAGTTATTCACTCCGTGTGGAATAGATAACTGTGTTTGGAACTTAACACTTAGAGGCGTCTAGCAAACTAAGGTACATCATACTACGTTTCATTTTAAAATGCGCATTATAGTATTGGGAAACGATAACGACGCATAAGGCGAGTAGTAAACGTACGTGATTTATAAAATATGCTATTAGAATAACATTTATTCTAATAAGTAGTTTATTATTTAAACTGTTATTATTTAATAATAACTGCTAATAATGGATATTGTAGTTTGATGATAACAAACATGGAAAATAGTTGGCTAATCGACCGGGGATTGAATTATTTGCACATGTGTCACGCTGGTGGTCGAGCCGTAGAAAATATATATCCCACAAAGAACTACGGCGGCGCGGCGACAAGCAGCTGACGGTGCGTTGAACCAAACAATGAAAAACGTGATAACGCGACAACTGACGGCTATGTTATTATTATACTTATTTGTGGCCCCCTATCAGCGTTGCTGGCTACAGGCATACAATTTCAATTAGTTACTTAAAATACTTAATTTAAGTAGTGAAGGCTTGATATTATGGTCGTTTTTGTTTTTAATTATACTTAAATTTGAACTAAGTTCGAATTATTTCTATGCACTGCCACAAGGAAATTTACTGATTATACTTATCTGGAACAAAGTTGGATAAAAATATCTAAAATGTCTTAAGCTTATTGTTGAAACTTAAACGGTTCAGATCTGGTATTATGACGGCTACTGATGAAAATGGAACACCACGCCGACGTAGACTTGTAGTTGATACACTTAGCGTAGATTGTACAGAGTTTAGTGGAGCTTTCCTTACCTGTCCCACTTGCTTATGTAAGTTATTATTAATTGTATTTAAAGTCATGTGGAATGTTGTATATTTTATGTTAAACGCGTTTTATCCACTATTTTTCAATTATTAATTATAAAAATTTAAAGGTGTATATGATGCTGATGAACATGCACCAAAACTGTTATCTTGCACTCACACAGTATGTACACATTGTGCTGGAAGAATGGCTGCTGCAAGCAAAGCTCGTATGCCTCCACCTCCTGTTGCTGAAGTTGTCGAAGGAATGGATGATTTTACAGTGGATAATGGAGCAGCTGATCATGAACGTACTCAAAATCAGGAACAAGCATCATTCAAGTAAGATTTACCACAATATAGTATTAATCACTTATCATAAACCACTTTATTAATCATAAAATTGATTACTTTTTTATTGGTTTCTTTTAGTTAAATGTTTTTCTCAATTTATCAATTATAATGTATTTTCCCTTATAGCTTATAAGAGGATCATTTTTAATTAACTAGCTTAGTTATTAAATAATGATCTAATCAAGAAAATTACTGCTCAATAACAACTTATGAATAACTATTTCAGAAGTTATTAAAAATTTAAAGAAATGACTGATAATGAAGGGTGGGTGCTGCCATTTTTATAATTAGACATTATGTGACCATACTCTTACTCCCGCTTAGAAATAAACTTATCAATAATTTCGGAAAAACTAGTCCAAAAGTTATTATTGACTAGTCATTTTCTTAATTAGATAATCTATTAAATAAGGCAGTTAATTATGTTTGTCATTCTTATAAGGTGTAAAGGATAAACATAAAAAAAATACTTCATAATTGATAAATTGAATAAAGTATGTCATTAATGAAACTAATAAAAATATTATCAATATCATTCTTTTTTTTTAAATAATTAAGTGGCTAATGATAAGTTAATCAATCTGTTTTTTTATTGCTTTTTAAGTCCATTAAGGGCCATAGCAGCAGCTTTTCTATAGAAGTAGGTTTCTTAACCATTGATACTCTGAGACCGGTGGTTAATCCGTTACTAGAGAGAGGAATGACGACACCCATTACCAAAATTGATCTATCGCTCAATAAATGAAGTCTCCTGTGATTGAGTTTAGAATCCAAGGCAGTGCGCATCATGCGCTGCCATGTTACCAACTTGACCACACCGTCCCTCTGTACATTAAATTTATTAATTTTAAATTAATCTCAGAGAAACTAGTTATTGAAAATTGTATTAGACATTTAAACATTAAATATTTTATTTATAAATTATATTTTAATTAGATTATAATCCCCTCTAAAAAAAAAATAAATGAATTCATAAACTCATTTAGATATTAGAATTTTTTTGATTAATGAATTTGAATCCAGCTCAATTTAAATATTTTTGTGTTTTATTAATTATAATATACTGATTTTTTAATTTTGTTATGAGTTTATTACTTTTTTATTTTAATGAAAAACATTATTTCTTCAAATAAAAATTAATTTTTTATACTTATTTTTAAGTAGATTTTATGACAATATTTTTTAATTTAATAATTACCTTTATTTAAATTTATTAAGTGTATATTTTTTTTTTAAGGTGTCCTATTTGCCGGCAACGTGTAATGGTACCAGCTGAAGCTGATGGTGGTGTACAAGCACTTCCACCAGCATTTCTAGTTAATCAACTTTTAGATCTCGTTTGTGCACCACCAACTGGTCAGGCTTCTAATGGTGGAGCCTTAACTAGTAAACGTACTACAGTAGTTGTACCAACATGTGCAGGAGGTGCTGGTTCAGATCCAGGACATACTGAAAGAGTTTGTCTATTTCATTTTTACTTAAATATATTAATTAATAGACTAGGAATGATAAATGTTTAGTAGGGTGGTCCTTATTTTTCAACATAATATATTTTAAGCATGTGCTTAAAATTTTATTTTATTTGACATTGTACAATGCTCTACTAGATGCAATGTACTTATTTATACTAAATTAGTATTATATTTTTGTAATATTTCTTTTTCTTAATTTAAAACTCATATAAAAACTATGATTACTTCTGATAAAAACTACTCTAATTATTATATTTAAATGATAATAATCTATTGAAATTGAGTAAAAATAATATAGTTATTCTACATTTTAATTTAAAAATCTCATTGTTAAAATATTAATAAGCTATTCTTATTTATAATTAATTTACAAAAGAGAGTCATTTACTTAGTAAATTTATATTTAATGTTCTCTTAATAATAAAATTTGTTGTAGAAGGTATAAAAAGATTAAAACTAACATCAGTTGATTAAAAAAAAGTATTTATTTCTTAAATAACTTTTTAAATTTAAACTAAAGTTTTTATAGTTAATCTCTCCAGCATTCAGTAATCCAAACAGAATACTTTTTCAGTAGTATCTTTTCATAAATTATTATTTTTGGTCAAAAAAAAAAAGCTTGAAAGAAAATATCAAACATTTTTTTTCATTTGTGTCATTTTTGTTGTGATAATTTTTATTTAATACTTATTGCATTATGTTAGGAGTTGGCATATTGTAGTAACTGTGATCATACATATTGTCCTGTGTGTGTTGAGACTGAAGAAGATGAAGATGTGGATGATAAAGAAAAAGTAAAACTTATACCATCTAATGATTTAGAATTGGAACCTATTCCTCACCAACAGTGTCGTCATCCAACTGCTGCAGTTTTACCTGCTTCTGTAGCTGCTGCAAGATGGAGCGATGTTCTCCAATATAGAGCTGCAGAATTAGCTAATAAAGTATGAAAATAAATTATTTATTTAAGATTTATTTTTTATTTAAGATAAATAAATAAGATTTATTTAAGATATTTTTTATTTAAATAATATTAACAATTGTTTATAGCTTGCATAAAACTTTTTATCAGATAATTAGAATTAAGGCCATTATTTCTTTTTCCTTTTGTCATACTAAACTCCCTATTGAATTCATTGATTACTGATATTTCTTTTATATTTAATACTGGTTGTATTATTTAACTATTTTACTATATTTCATTGTTATTAGTGTACAGATTTTGATATTATTCTATTTTGTAGTACTTATCATCTTATTTCTGTAATATATATTACTAATATTATTCTAATAATATACTATTATATATTTTTTAATCGTTGAGCTATTATATTAATTATATAAAATCTATTTAAAATTATAATAAAGATAAATTAGGCAATTTTTTTTTCTTTTGTAAAAATCGCAAAATATTTAAATTTGTAAAGCAATACAAATATAAAAAAAATTGTGTAATTTTTTATTTTATATTTTCAATTAATATTGTTATATTTTTCCAGTTAGAAAGATGTGTGAAAGCTATTCATGCAGAACTACAAACTGTTGATGATTCACAACGTCGGTGTTCAGAAGTAGTAGAAACAATATTTGGAACTAGAGGTGTTTTTGCAACGGCACTTGAAAACAGAAAAAATGAATTGTTATCTGATGCAAAACAAATCTGTCTAAATCGAAAGTCAATTTTAGAACGTCAGCTTAAAGAAATACAATCTGAAATAATGCGAGTATGTACAAATAAAATATTAATTGTTATATCCTTTAAAGATAGTTAATTAAATTAAATTAAAACGATACATCTTATTTTTATGTTTGATTCTTCCTTTTTTTTTTTCCATGTACATTCTATAATATCATGGGGGGAACTATCCGGATTGAAACTATGTTTTGTCTTCTTTAAACTATATTTTATAAATGTAAATTTATTCATTTTAATTATCAGATATCAGCAACTGGTCGTAGTAATATTATATTAGACCCTGATGTTACAACTGTTGAAGATTTATTAGAATATGGAAGTGAAGTCCAAACAGTTAGAAAGACTGCTACAGAAATGGGTCATAAATTAGCTGAAATTACAGGTACAGTTTTAGAACCTGCAGCTAATGGACATGTTAGAGTGTGCGGTCTAAATTCAGGAGAAATTGAAGAAGCAGAACGTGTAGTACGACATACCATACAAAAACTTGGAATTGTTCGAGCAACCAAAACTTGTCCATCGCAATGTACATTTGAATACTGTAATGTTGACTCAGGAATTTTACCTTCTTCACCTACAGGTTAAATTTTTGAACAATTATTATTTTAAAATGTATAAAAAATAAGCTAACATAATATCTAGTTTATAGTAGTTTATCTATTAGGAATATATTTTCAATTTTTTTCCTCCATCATTTCTTAAATTCTTGTTTGTTCTAAAATTCTTTAATAAAATTTTAATGGACATTCAGGTGGACCTTTGTTAGTTCCAAAATCAGTTGGCACTGTTCTTTGCCAGGTATTAACTAAGGATTCTGCAGGTCATAAGAGAAACCATGGTGGAGATCCTGTTGATATTGAATGGTGGCCTATTACTGATGATAGCAATAGTAAAGGAAATAGAATAAAAGGTGGTGGAAGATGTTCTGTCAATACAGATGATGGTGATTATGAAAATAATTCAGAAAATTTCAATGAAGATGGAGTGAGAGTAATTGATCATGGTAATGGCTATTATACAGTTCGAGCTTTAATGCAAAAAACTGGCAGGTATACTTTTAAATAAATCACATGTATCTAATTAACCTAAAATAATAACTAAGTGCTAAAAAGTATGAAGTGCTTTTTTACCTTTTTCAGAACAGTTTAAAAATAATTTTTTTTATCATCACTATTTTATTGTAATCTATTGATTATTTAGTTTTACTTTACAAATTTATACTCAATATATTTTACTCTAAAGGTTATTACAACTACATAGTTAACTAAATTTTTTCTTAAAAGCATTTAACTTTTTTTTGCACTAAGCAATTAATATATACAAGAAAAAATTTATGTTAATTTCAATTTAATTCTATTAATATATGGCACATATTGAATGTTATTATAAACTAATGGTTTTAAATAGAGTCACTCCGTGCTAAATCGCAGGATGATTTAGCACAACAATTTCAAAATTTTTGTGACTTTTTCTTAGTTCAGTTTTAGTTGTTAAAAAGGTGAACAATAACTGTCACTCAGACCTGTATGTTTATTGTGCCCATGAGGAATTATATTCATTTGATTTCTTTGGGAAACCTTTGATTACAGTGGAGAGAGGTCCCTGGTGTATTAACGTCATAAAAATTTTGAGATTTTTTTATGTAGTCATACAATTATGTCTGAATGACTTAGTATGGATTAACCTCATAGGATAATGCACATAGTTATTCATTTTTGTTATAGATTTCGTCTTCGAGTTAAAGTACTTGGTCGTCTTGTTCGTCCTACTACCATAAATGGACATCATGGCTGTATTGACTTCCGTGTTGTTGATACTGAATCTCCTGGCCAATCTGTTAAATCTACTTATGATGAAGTTAATTGTTCAAAATTACAACAACCAGCAGCTGTGACTGCTGTGTGTGGAGAAAAATTACATGTAAGTTTATGCCGTGTTATTTAGTTTAATTTAATAAATGAACAAATTTATTATGTATTTTGTATTTTATGTTGATTTTTTTTTCAATCATTAGTAATAAATTTAATATTTCTTGTTTTATTATTTAAAAAAAAAAACAGTAATATTTAAGTATATACATATAAGAGAGTCTTATTAATTAATCAATCAAAAATTTTAGGCCTATGTGCTAGATCCTGTAGCAGGTAGAGTTGATGAGTTAAATTTGTTAGGACAGTTATCGGAATTTAAAATCTCTAACTGTGATCCTCTTATATTCCGTGGAAAATCAGCAACAGGATTAGCAGCAGTATCTTGTTCACTTGGTACATTACTAGTAGTTTGTAATTGGAGAACAGGAGTTGTATGCAGGTTAGTAATAACAGCAAGTTAGTAAGAATAAGGATTTCAAAATAAAAACCAACAAAGTCCGACTTGGTTTTACTACCTTAAAACTACATAGAACCATAATTTAACTTGTACTTACTGCTGGTATTATCATCGCTAGACTTACAAGGCCATCAAAAAACTGTTATATAAGATAACAGAAGAGATGTCCTTCTCTTCCATGCTTTTACAAATCTATAATGAAGTATAAACTTATTTCTACTGACTCCTATTCACTGACAAAATTTTGAAAGTACATTTTAGATATTAAGTTTTAGGGTTACAGTATTGAGTAGCTGAAGAAAATGTGTTTTTTTGTCTCGCCCAAATAAATTTTTGGCTATCTGCTCACTAACTACAATAAAATTTTAACTATAATTTGAATCTATGAAAATATTAATTTATCAAGGTATTTTTTTATTGTGCTTGTCACATTAGTATTAAACATCTACTGGCCTAATATTGACAATAAAACGTCAAATAATGTGGAATTTTATCAAGTGGAAAAAATTCACATATATTTTTTTGTTAGAGAAAATATATCAAAAATTACTTTTTTTCATGTTTTAAAACCTCGGAATCAACCACTATTCAGTAATATTAATTTTAAATGAATAGATCAAAATTCCATAATTTTAAGTAATACTCTAAACCATATATTAAACATTTTTTTTTAAATCTGATTAATAAGTAAAATTGACGTTTGAACTATAGATACTATAGATAACTTAAGATCATGTCGAAAAAGTATTATTTATGATGACATTCTGAATATCCTGACCCCTTTTGAAAGATATTGAACTAAACCATATGAAACATGATTTAAGTTTAAAAAAAAAACAATATTATTATTATTTTTTATTAGTAATGATTAATAAAAAAATGATAGCACAGTGTGGACATGGCATAGTTTAGATAAGTACATATGATATCTGACAATGATCAAAATCATAAGAAACGCTTCGATGCAAATCTGTAGATAGTGTTAAATTTTTAGAAGTTGGTGTTTATTACAAAAACAACATCAACTTCATTATCCTTTATTATTTTTATTAGTAGTTTTTTGATTTGTAAATATAATATATGAATAAATATTTATTATAATAATAATTAAATTTAGTATTAAATTCATATTCATAAATTTAATATTGTAATTTTTACAGAGAAATTATAAAAAATTATAGAGTACTTATATATTTTGTTACATCTATGCAAATGTGTATAGAATTGATTCACAAAACTCATGGAAAACTTCTCAGAACATTTTTTGTTAAATTTAAATAAATATACTGATCTACAAGGAATTTTCATCAGAATCAAAAATATACTTATCTAAATTAATTGATCGCACTTATTTCAAATCTGCAATTAGATATTTTCTATGATTTTTAAGTTATAAACTTTCTTAAAAATCAACTTTTACAGTAACCAAAAATCTAGAAGTTTACTCTATTCTAACTAATTATGACCAAGTAAAAATCTATCATTAAAAATTTTAATTCTATAAATATTTTGATGGCTTCAATTATAGTGATATAAATTATATCTATCTAACTGTATATTACAATGTTAATGTACATATGAATATTATAAATTTTATTAATAAAAATGCCATTTTATTTTTTTCAAAAATATATTATTTATATATTTTATAAATGTTTATATTATTTCAGAGCAATAATAACACCTAAAATTTCACAAAAAGATGTTATTCCATTAGAATGGTATCGTATTATGGGTATTACAGTGCAAGAACCCGTGTGCATAACAATAGCTAATTTTAATGGTAATGATGGATCAATGTTATTATTATTAGGTGATTCCCGAGGCTGTGTTCATGCATATAGAATATCTATGAAAGAAACAACTGCATTACATATTTACACGGTAATATATTTATTTAAATGTATGCATTTTATTGTAGTTACTCAGAGTGATCCATTTATTATAAACCACTCGATTACTCGCAGAATGTAAACATTTATGAAATGTTACTTTTAGTGATATATTGTTTCCAAATTATTAGCCGATGTAATACTTTTTAAATTCAATTGTTATGCCTTGTAAGGTTGTCAACTATATTTTTTTAATTAATAAGGTTTTTAAAATTTAATTATATAGCTATAGAATTTTTTATCTGACTTAATTCATCTATCAGTTATAACACTTTAAAATCTCGATTTTTGAAATTAAAATACAATGAAAACATCTGAGGAAAATACAAATACAGGTAGTTAACTGTTTCTTCAAGACGTTGCTATTCATTAGATAAACAGCAGTTACGCCTAATTACAGCATTATTGAGTGATAACATCATGATAGTTCTAAATGTTGACACCATGTTGCAACTGAAGGTTAAAAATAAACATTTATAAATTGATCGTCATAAGCAAATTCATTAGCTACCAGTTAATATAATTCCTTATTGTTATACATGTATTTTAAATCGAAAATCCAAACCTTTTAAATGTTATATCTAATAAATTAATGAAGTTATATTAAAAAAAAAAAAAACCTCAAACATTTTATTACATTTAAAATATGTGTTCTCATTTGAAAAAACTAAGTTGAAATTCTTTTGAAGTATTGCATATCTAAAATAATTTGAGAACTAATGTAAATATAAGTAAATAATAGTAATCAAAAATAAATTTAATAAACAGATGACCTGTATATATATATTGATGTCATTAGACATAATATTCTTAAACTTAATATTATTTTTACTCGCAGCTAATTAATTTTAACATAATGAATAATAACATAAATAAATGTATTATATAAATCTTACTATGTTTTCTCCAATTTATTTAAAAAAAACACTAATAAATCATTTTGACAATAAAATACTTTTAATGTGGTTTATTTATAGATTGATAATGTAAGTAGTACGAGTGATGGAGGTGCTGTTGGAGGTGGTACATTTATAGCAGTGGCTGAAAGTGATCTGTATGTTATTCCAAGTGCTGAGCGCAGATCTCTGCAGAAGAATATTGGAGATGCCCAGAAGATAAATCATCATAAATTGTTAGTGTATGATTTAATTACTGGGGAGTTTAAACGAATAATGTGTCCTGTTACTCCAGATGACGCTCTAACTGACTCTCCTTTGGATGCAGACGAAAATGGCCGCCAGTGTTCAAATAAATCATGTTAGTTTTATAAAATTTCCTTATCCTTTATTAATTGTTCTAAATTTGCTAATTAGTTAAGAAATATACTACTGATTCTTTTAATGCTAATTACTTAATTTTTTTAAAAATAATAAGTTTTTTGAAAAATATTTTTAAGATATTTTACACTTGTATTTCCATTTTACTGTTATAAAATAATTGTTAGGTCCTTCCCCAATATCTTAAGAGGAGTAAACTTTTTTTTTTAACCGCAACATACATATTTAACTATCTTATAAAATAGAAAATGACTGGTCGAATACAAACTTTGGACCAATATTTAGGGAGTTATTAGCATTTTAAAATATAGATTGGTGGTGAAGCATGAATGCTGATATTTTTATCATTAGTCATTTCTCGGCTGCTTTCCTCCTCCTATATAAGTACAAAATTGTGAATATCTTCGGATGCACTGGTCCAAAAGTTGTTATCAATTAGTAATTTTTTTAATAAGATAATTTCCAATTTTATAGGCTAGTTAAATATGGATGTTTTTAAAAAAAAAAATAAAGTTGACACCACTTCTAAATACATATAGAATGAACATAAAAGGTATTTTATAAAACATAAATGGAGATACATATGTAATTAACAAATTAAAAAAAAAAATTATTTTAAGAGAAATCAAATAGCTAGCATTAAACAAATCATCTTATATAGAGATACGTTAGTCTACTAACAGCATGATATTATTCATTTATATTTATATTTTCTTGGGAAAAAAATATTATATTGTATCATAATTTTTAATATCTTAAACCTATTTAAATTTAACACACGTAAATAAAATAGGTGTAGGATGGTAAATTTTTTTGGAGGATAGAGGGCTAAATTGTATCCCCAAGCCAAAAAATTATTTCTTTATAACAATGAATATAAGTGTGCTGCATTTCTGGAGATGGTTTGTACCATTTAACTTACTAAATAATATAATTTAACAAATGTTGGCATTAAATTATTTAAAATTGAAAGTTTTACGAATTTTTCAACCATCAACATAAACATTATTCAATAAACAAAAAAAAGTTTTTTTTCTTCAGGTTTCTTTTCTAATTTGAAAAATAACATTTGTTCACATATTTACCCTCTATTTTTATTTTTATGTTTTCAGCAGTTTTGATAACATCTCAATATTGTGTAATAGCCACATGTCCTGGAACACCAAAAGGTCAAAACTACTTGTTGGCATGTAGAAAACGTAAGCGACGAATAAGCTCTTCGAGTGGAGCTGGATGTCCATATGCAATTGATATTATCGATACATTTGATGGAAAGGTGGTGAATACGGTAAAATGTTCCCTTAAACGGAGACCGTTGGCTTTAGCTGGGTATTGGGTTGCTTCAGTACCAATAAAAACATTGAGCAAAGATGACAATGATAACAAGACTTTAGAAGAGCACGAGTCTGATTGTGATAACCTGGATAAAATGGATAGTCAATCTAAATTTCCAATTTATTATGAATATTATGCACTTGTAGCAGATGGAACTGTTGTGAATCGTTATAGATTTCGATAAAAGACTTAGTTTATTTCTACGTACATTAAACACTTGTACTTAACTAACGTAATAAACTATCTTTTGTGTGTGTTTGTGTGACACGTACGATTAAGTTTTTAATTAAAATATTGAAGAATATTAAACTAGTGTTAATCTCAAATATTCTACTTAATATGAATACTCTAGTCCTTTTATTATTATTTTATGATTATTTAATTTTAATATATTATTAATACATTAAATGTGTTGAAAATAAATAGACTGTACAAGGCTGTATATTTTGTATGTTTTTATTCTTGTCTTTTTTCTCTCTATATATATATACATACGCGCGTGTGTGTATGTTTGTTGGTGTTTATATACACATATATATTTAATAAACATTATATTCATATTATACACTCTAGTATCTTATACAATATGTATACTATATCATTTTTAATCTTATAATACAAAAAAAAAAAAACAATATTATTAAAATATATATAAATGTCAGAACAAATCGCTTGTCCGTCGGAGGTCTTAAGGAGCTGCTGTTGCTGCCGCAGCGTAATATTTTGCTGCATTTAGCGAACTGTTACCATTCAGACCTGATAAACCAGAAACCGAACGTATACCCACAGCGGTAGCAGCGGCATTTTTGAGTGCCTGTCGTTTGTTACAGAACCAAATACGAACCACTTCGCGATCGTAACCCAACCGAGCTGCCAATGCGGTTATTTCAGCACCTGAAAGTGACATGTTATCTATAAGTATTACATAAAGTATTCGATATGTGCTCTCTAGTACGGGCAATCGTTTTAAATACACCTAGAGGCGTTATTGTGAAATAATATCAACATTTTGATACATTGTGTAAGAGGATAGGAAAAAATTTTTTTTACGTGCGTCTTCGTCCAAAATACGTTACTAATATTACCAATGTAAGTGTACCACTAAATTTCTACCGAAATAATAAAAATTTCCTTACTGAATTTTCCAGGTGCAAAAATGAATGTTGTAAGCTAGTTGTAGTAAGTTATATTTCATTCGATTCTCTTAAAAAACAAAAACTTTAAATGTTTTAGAGGTCTTGCAGTTAACCATGAATTTATCTATTAAATGTGTACGTTGAATTTGTCTATATAAATATAGTCGTTAGGTCTTGACTATAAATTTCGTAATTGAGCTTGGGTGATTTTTTTTTTTAATATTATTTAACAATCAGAGATGTATCTAAGAGATTGGGATCCCGTATTCAAAAACTACTCAAAGTAAAAAGGGATAGGTGTAAAACCATCTGCGCCAATGACCATGAAAGTGACAAATGCTTACCGGATGGATGTGTATTGCGGTCGAAATGACCGTTGAGCAGTTCCAGAGCGTGCGGTGTAAATGATGTACGCCGTTTGCGTTTTTTAGCTGCGGCAGCCGCCGCCGCCGGATGCATCATTGCACTGCCGTTAGCCGTTTGTTGATACTGTTGATGATGAAGACGGCCGTTACTACCGCCATAGTACCTAAGAGTAGGATAATCATATTATTACTTGCGGTACACTGAAAGGATAAACGAGTTCAGGAAAATATTTAGAAATTCATAACAGAGGAGGGCACGCTAAACTTGGCTTAAAACTTAGGTCGTTTTTAACCAATTATGAAAAAAAAGATCAATAAACGTTTTTTACATGAGCAAAAAGTTATGCAAGACTAAAATTCTTAGCCAGGAGAACATTAAAAAAGTGCACATTGCTCACCTGGAAGATTCGGGAGTGGACCAAGTCGGTCGCTTTGGCACTGCTGAGGCGGCCATCAAGGCAGCCATAGTCGTGGACGCGGCGATGGCGGCGGCAGTAGTGGCAGTGGTCGGATTATCGGCGCTGTCGTCGTCCACGCCGCCTTCAAGTCTTTGCTGCTGTCGTTGATAATAATAGGCCCTGTAGACAAAGCAATGGCAAACGAATTTGTTTACTATTGACTTATTAAAACGCGTCTTTGACGATTCTTACGCTGCGTTACAGGAGGTTATCTGTCGCTGTTGTTGTCGAACGTATGCCGCTGGATCATCCGTTCCACAAATAGCCGCCGCGGTTTGTTTAACAAATGCGCTGGTATCGTCTTCCGTTCTATCGGCAGTACCGGCCGATGACACTTGCAGCGCCGGCGGTGGAGTCGCTCGTCGGTTAAAAATGTCTGTTCGATGTCCGTTATTGTCACGAGTTGATGTCTGGTGTTGGCCTGGAATTACTCCATCGTCCAATGTCTGTGATCGGTGATGATGTCTATACCGTTGTCGGTGCTGTAGCCGATGTTGATCGGCGGTGCCAACGGTTGGAACGGGAGGTTCCAATACTAAAAGTACTGCTTGGGCCACGGCAACTCCTGTAATACATAATACTGTGTAGTACTGTGCGACCATGTGATAAACACTGTGTGCATGTATTGTTTTACTTTCATCAATAATTATTTTTAACTTTTGACATTCAATGCATAATATTTAAAAAAAAATCAAGCCGATTTATAATATTTATTTTGATGAAATAATATTTAAAAAGAACGTGAGCTAAGATTTAGCAAAATAAGTTTTGCAGGTACATGTAATGCCTTCAAACATGTTTTGAACAAAATTTGTCGAGGTCTTAATACTTGTACAGACAATATCTTTAAACGGCTAAATGGATAAAATATCTCAGTACTTAAGTATCTACAGTAACCTTCAGGAGGCGCTTATGCACAGATTTTAATAACATATCACGAAGCTTTTTATTTAAAATATAACCAAGAAATGTAAAAATTAACGCACGTTAATCAAAATGAACAATATTGGAGTTGAGGAATTATACGAACTAAAATGTACAAGCTATTTCCCCTCTGAAATATGTGTGATAATAAGAACAACTGTTAGCATTTTAATAGTCCCCTCGAACAATAATCGATTAATTATATTTTCTTTTGTACGTTACTTATGAGCGTAGATAATTAATAAAAGTAAAAACAAACAAAAATGTACTCTGCCCGCAATTGTTCATTATTAAGCATACAACATTCACCTCCATCGGCAGTGGGCACAAAGACCCTAGCCGGTTGGGCTGCACCGGGTCCTGGTGGTAATCGACCACCGACTAGAAGGAGTTCGGCCGTTTGTGTAGGTTTGTCACTATAATCGTCTGTTCGGGACTGAATCCACCAAGGAGGTGTCCAGGACGCGGCCGCTGGCTGAGATCGTTCGTGTACAACATCGCCGATGCCGCCGCCGCCGCCGCCGTGATCCTCGTCTTCGTCGGCATATTGATCATCTTCTACATCGTCGCCTTCGTCTTCTGACAACGACAAAGGATTCTCTTCTTCGGCCATCGCCTTCTCGCCGGTCACCATTAAATTCAAAGGCATAGCCGCAGTCTGCATGGCCATCGGATCTTTTCGGGTTTTATCATCACAATCGCTCTGCAAGTCAAAAGAACATAACCTTAGCATTTTAAATGCACATTAACCAACTCGCATTTGTCACATTTCAATTTTTTCGAGTCTACTAAAGTATAATTATGTTTATTTTTCGTAGTTTCTGTGAAACAATACAAATTGCTACTGCGTGTCTATAATAATGAGATATTAGGAGGATATTACGTTCAATACTCCCACAAAAAATCAACATCACTTTTTGTATACTATAAACGTGTAATATTTAACCATAAGAATGGCATTAACCCAAAGGAAAAATAAAGTTAATCACAAATGTAATGTTTAATGCACAATATTTTTTGTTTCGTTTTACACGCAACGCTAGCACAATACAAAAAATAACTCTTACCGGATTAATCATTACTAATTATTAATTACTACTCCATTATTTTTCGTCAAATTTAGAATTTTCATTAATAAGTATCATTATGTACCAAACAAAAAAACAAATAACAATATTGTTCATTGATTCATGGAAAGGTACTATTCATATTGAATGTTGTCATCGAGGTCAAGGGATAGTTTACCACGATGATTTCGAGAACATTTTGTAGTTTTTAATAAAATCGAGATGACATTTCTTACACTTTTGTAAAACTCAAGTTTAAGCGGAACACTTTCCGTTTGCCTCCGAGTACTGCCAAACTACAGTTTACGGTCCTCGATCGCCATTTCATACCATCCGAACTGAAGTATTTCCAGTTTAAAATAGTTGTCTAACAAAACTTTTTTCGGGGGTAACTCGTGTAGTGGCTTTAATAATAATAAAAGCCACTGATATAATATAAGAATTCGACATTCACGCGACTAATTATAATTAGTGGTACGTATTCTCTTATTTTTTTACATAATGAGTCACGATACAGGTTCATTACATACACATAGTCACGGGTGATTCATCTCGTTCATTAATCACCGCAATTCACGATAAACACAAAGCAAGTCTAATCAACGGCCGACACACGCGCACATTTCTTTCGGTAATCTCTCGTAAAACGCGTATTTTCCATTCATGCCATTCTTTATATATTTTATAACTCGATAAACAAAATTAAAAACAATTTGCGCTAATTGCTAATAAGTTGTACGCGCGCAAAGGTGAGCGAGTAACGTACGCGAACGACTCGCCAACGAGCTTTACAGAGAAATCACCGACGCGTTACGCGGCGGCGACGACAAGCACACGAGTGTACGAGCCCTTAGGTGTTAATTAGCATGGGACATGGTGTCTCGCAGGCAAAACCGACAGACGCCGGCATTGCACGCACAGTGCAAAACTCATTGCAACTGTCGCAAACCACACAACAATACAAGTAGATAACGTGTGCGTTGTATCTCGCGCGTGTGGCTCGGGGATGACCCGTGCAAATGTTATCGATTGGTAAGTTTTGGAGTAAAGGGGTCAGTGTATAGGCGGAGAGTCGGCGGCGAAAAATGTATTATAATTGTAAAAAAGAATAATAATGATGTATTGTTTGTACGTGTATGTATTTTTTCAGGCTATAACGGAGGGGTACTACCGAGCTGCAAAGGGACACAACAATAATATGATATCGCATATACTCGCCTCTCTCGTTTATAATTAATTATCCACCACCGCCGTCGCTTACACCGTTACAGACTACGTCGTCGTCGTCGTCATTATTATTATTACCATTTTTTTTTTTTTCAGTTTTTATTTCACTCGGATCCGACCCGTCACATTATTATATTATATTATTATTGTTGTTGGCAGGCTCACATACGCGGTGGTCCCTTTTCCTCCCTCGTAAAACAATATTATTGTTATCATTGTTATTTATTTACAAAAATGTTGGCCGTCTACGAAAGTTCGGCAACCGGATGTCTCTACTCGTCCTGGTTATCCGTTAGACTCGCCTCGATCAATCCGTCCCGTTTATGCTTTTAAAAGTTTTACCGCTCGTTTACGCACTTGGTTTTTTCTTATTCAACTTTGCTCAAATGTATTTTACGTGTTGTATTAGAAATGCGTTTTATCGACACACAGCGCGCAATGACTCATTTTAAACGTTTGTATAAATTTATAATTGCCCATTGTCACCAGCCCCTTTATGTGGGTTTGCCCTAAAACCATTTTAACGCAATGTGGCTTTTACCGTGTGGGGGTTGAACCTAAGAACAATCCCTTTAAACGCTCCATATGAGAATGATTGTAACTAAAAGCGCGTATTGGCGATCAAGATTTTTTACGTTATTCAACACGCGGTGATCATTAAACGGTTAAATTTCTTGATTTTTTTTTTTACGGTTGTAATCAATTGAAATTTAATGATAATTTACATAAAATTTAATTCAATTTTTTTATATTATTAAAAGTTGTAAATATCATAGCAATGACGTGTCATTCGTGATGATCTCGTTCAGATTTCGTTTACTCGAACGTCTTGTAATATTGGACACGATTTTTATTTAATAAAAACTTACTAACAAGACGGTATTGTATAATTTTTAATACTCAACCTGTACAATATCTCATTTGGTGGAAATGTTTAACCAATCAGAATTATTTAAAATATTACCGGATAAATAAAAGATAATATTTGTCGTGGTATAGAATTCCATTGAATCGAGTCTGAAAATATTTTCAAAAATTTCTTGAAGAAATTTCGAAACTTTGGATATTACATAAATATTTTAACCAACAGCGCAAAACACATAACCGCTCGGAACAGAATCGTCTTTTGAAGTCTATTATTATTTTTGCGTGTAAGCGCCGACTTTGAGAGGCTCATTACATATATATATATATATATAAACGGAATACACTCTATGGAAGGACAGTGTACTGCAGTGCATGCATAGGCACTATAGGGGAGCTTATTATCCCGGCTATACGTACAGTTATGCTAATTACCCCGCACCCGCCGCCATCGCCGTACAAGCCGCGGCCTCGACGCCATCGCAAATTGTATACTGCGAAATGCAAATGAGCGGCGGTAAAAGGGTCTAAAAACGACGGAGGGGATGGGGGTTAGTGGTATGTGTATATGTATGTGTTAGACGAGCTGCAGGGTTCGGGATACACAACCCTTTCCCCTCTTTATGCGCGTATAGGCGGCTGCTGTGCCGACGCCGGCGACGTAATTATACATCCCGTATATATAATTAAAATACCCTCCATCCCAGTGAGCCGCCACGTCCTCACCGCTTACCCTTCCAGCCGCCTGATTAATATTATGCAAATCCACGATGGTAATGCGGCGGCGGCGACCGTATAATGAGATTACGCCCGACCGGAGTCGACGGCCGTCTACTCGCCTACTCGTTTCTACCCGTTTCCAATTCTCGCCGTGGCCCCTCGAATACATAATAACACACAACGCGTATATGTATTTCCGATAATATTATTACGGAGACTTCGTGGTGATGACGGGGATAGAGGAGACGATGGACACACGCATGGCGGCGAACGGTAAAAAAAAAAAAAAAAAAAGAGTGTAGGTTTGCAGACTCCGCGTGTAAAAAGGGCGCGAATATGTGCTAGATAATATATTTGTGAGTTTACACTGATGTATTAAGTGTATCGGATAAATTTAAGCCACGATGGCTTAACTTTGAAAATGAAGATAACATTGGTGATGTATTTTTTAAACGTGCACGCATTCTAGTTGTGCGCATTCAGGGAAAGTAACAATACAGTGTTTTTGGTAGACCAATAAACCCATAAAAATGTTTGAAGGATTTTCAGCGATTTGTTCGAGTGCAGCCGTTTCGAGTGATTATCATTGGCGCGTACGTGATAAAACGTACAGTTGTCGCGCTGCGCAACGAATTACTACGAATCGTGATATTTTATACGCACCACATTACGTATTCATGTGAAACCCGAGTGAAGTTTCGAGAGGGCCTAGGACAACTCGCCGCAAGGAAACTCGAGATCGGCCTGCACACGTTTCTAGGAGCGACCGTAGCGTGTGATATTCATTAGATATTGTACGCTATTCCTGTGGACGCCCGCGTCCGTTCGTTAGCGAGCGGGCGATCAGAGGAGGTGGTCCCTTTTACACCCTCGCCGCGTTTATTATATTACGTCTACGCCCGTATAGAATTTTACGCGGAACTCGGGGACAGCGGTATACAAAGTTTAAAACGTGTTGTGTGCATTGATAATAACAACAGTAATAACAACCATGTACTTTTGACCGACAGAGGCGCTTGCTTATTGTTCAGTGTCGATCGGCCAGGAAAAGTGGCGCCACTTTAATAACTCGTTGCCGATTTCCCTCCCTCCTGTCCCCCACTCAAAAGGACGAACGGCTTGGCCACGTATGATAATTTGTTGAAAGATCAACTCAAATTACTAAAAATCTCATTGAGAAGATTTTTCAAATCGGAACGGAGTAATTTAATCCAAAAAGTTCGACTTACCTTGGACGATTAGTTTATTTATAATATTGTTAAATAAATATTGTTCGTGTTTTTGTTTTTTTTTTTTTTGCATCGTTCAATTATTATCTTTCTTTGTATGTGGCGTTACAATGTTTTTACGGGCAGAAAAATATAGATACTATTTGCTCGAAAATAATGAACTTTTATTAAAAAACTTCGACGATTGATTATTCATTTTGTAATAATAAAAATTATTTACCAAACTCGAAGAATACTATTTGTGACTAATGAGCAACATTGACGACTCCATAAAATAATACTTATCCTTTTTCAAGAAATCATTCAACTGCCCATTGTACGATGTGCATTGGACGTTAAAAAGATAAAATTATGGTAATTACTCTACACAAAACCGTCCTGAAGAGGCTTTAAATTGAAATAATTCCAGAATAGAATAGATTTTCGGTAATATACTTATTCAATATTTAATTATTGATTGATATTAATAATATCACCTAGTAAACTCGGCAGGTTTTGGATACTTTAGCGGTTCAAGAAGATGACAGAGAGGGGAGGGTCGAATTTATTCGGTCCGTTGAAACCACAAGGTCGTCCCGAGAATTCAATTTTCGCAATACATAGTTTACTACTTTAGGTTTGTTATCATTTGTTTACCTGTTCGGACTCTGAAGACGCTGAGGTAGATCCTATTGGAGATTTCAAGTCGCCATCCGCACGCCGACGGTCTCTTTTTCGCTCATTAGGTTTCCCGTTGGGCGAAAAAATTCGTTCGTCCCAAGTCCTATCATCACCTCCGGCGTCATTATCACCATCGGCTCCGCCATTCACTCCCACGCCGTTATTGCAACTACTGCGGTTGCTCAAGTCGCCGTCTTGGGCGAAAGTCACCCGAAGTTTCGGTCTATCGTCTAGCTGCGACGGTGACGACATCTCAGGACGCCCAGTGGTCGCACCATCTTGCACAATGTCTTGTTCTGCTGGAGATATCGGTCGCATCGGTCCTTCACCGTCGTCTGTGGCCATCGCATCCCGAACCTGAGGACAAGTCAAAAGGTTTTGAGAACGGTCTGCTGGCACCATCCAGCCGCGTAATCAACCGGATGCAGTCAATTGAACGACCACTGCCGGTTAACATTTAATACACGACATTATATTACACATTATATACACATTATTATTATTATCCGCTGCCGTAGATGATTATGACCTCTATAACACACCTACTCCTGTAATATGTTAATATTAACTTGTGCCCGGCATTAGTAATAATAATAATAATAATAATCGTATCAACGATCATATAGCTGCCGCATTTCGGCTATCTGTATATATATATATATATATATGAACTTGTTATTATTATTATTTATAAATAAGGGGACGGTCCGAACCGTCCCCTTCGTCTCGCTCGATTATAAATATATATACACGTAAGCTGCATATTTACTGTAATAGTAATAACAATAATTATAACTATAACAACTATACTAGTCAATCTGAATAATAAGCAGAAAGAGTGAACACTACAGAGCAGAGCAGTAGAGTAGACGGCTCTGTGATTCGGTCAGGACAACTATTATTTTTCTACAATAACTGAATGTTAATTGAACAATTTTACTTATAAAATACTAATAAAGTGAAATGTCGGTACCGTCTGTGTACTCACTGAACGACTCTCTGTATACTGTACTATTGCACAAGACAACTAATTAAGACCAATCAGCCGAACTTGGGTCGCGGCCGACAGTCTATAACGAGAGATAATTAAAGAAAACAATAATGATAATTAATGCTATCGTTACGAAATCGCCGCTGTGCGCAATAACAGTAGTACTATTTGTATTATTTTATTATTAGTGTCACTAATTTTTACCGTACCATTTTACGTCGGAGAAATACCGGTGCCAGTCGTCATCGAAAGGAAATCTCTTCAGTTTTCGCTCGCGACAATAGTTATGCAGCGAATCCGAAACCGACAACTATGTGCGTTGACTAACAAACGTAATTACGCGTAATGTTTTTGTTTTCGTGACTGTTATCGCGAATTAATCCTGTTCACGAGCACGTCAGTACGTTGGAAAACGGCGATGAAAAGAGAACCACCACCAGAGCCGGCTACTATCACACTGATTCACCGTCGTCGCCGTCGTCACCGCCAACGATACCATGACCGGCTGGCCTGCGCGCCCACCGCGGCGGCAATAGTTTTATAATTACTACTACTGCGGCACCACCGCCACCCGAATACTTTACTACTACTACTGCCGACTATAATATCCTCCATGCACCCCCTCGCCCAAGTGCAATACCACGGGCACCACCGCCGCCAGGACCGCACTCTCGCCCGTACGTCCAACTGTAATATGGGGCCAGCGCGTACATACATCATACCGCAGGCGATTCCTAATTATTATTATAATTACGTTGCGTATCGATCGGTCGGTATTGTGTGATGGGAAAACGGCATGGCGACGGCGGAGGCACCGACTGTTCGACCGCTCGCTACTATAAGAATAAAGATAATGAAAACATTAAAAATAATAGTTGTAATCATAATAACCGATAATTATTTTACGGGTGTATCAACGAGTTTTTTTTTAACGCACAACGGTTAACATACTCGCTATTTTTACGTTTATCAATTATTAGCGTTACAATGAAGTTTTTATTGAGACTAATGAATGATAACTTTTATGCACTCCTCGAGCCTATCGGTGCGTTAGATAAGACGATTTCCAAGACGGAACAATTAAGTGCTTTTTTTTTTTTTTTATGACATTTTCCGGTAGCACTCATTTTTCAGCGACTGTTTTCTTAGCTGGTAAAAAACACGTCAAAAGAACGCCGCCGGGGAAGTATCGACCGCGACGATTTGTGTAGATTGTAATCGAGAGAAATGTGCGATCAGGGACAATGAAAAAGAATTAGGGTCGAAGGGAAAAAGAATGGGTTTTTAGGGTTGTCCACCGAGAGTAGAGTGTGTTAAAAATAAGCAAAAGAAGAGAAAAAAGGTCGATTGGCAGATAGCATCAGAAACACGACGAGTAGGTATTGTGCGTATTTTTTTTATTTCAAGTCTCCATTGTAAAAATAACAACTTTTGAGTTATCTCTGCGTGCATTAATTAATTATTTTTACATCACTACTATGCGTTTATTACAGGAAAAATATATTAGATTTGTGGAAGTGAAAATAATCACGTTGACCGACATGAGACGTTTTAATCTCAAACGCAGTACAAGTAATAATCCAAAAATGACTGAAAAAAATAATAATAAAAGCTAGTTGCATTTTTTGAAACAAACTAGCAAACTTAAGTTGCAGAATCAACCACGAAACGTATTCAAGATGTTAGATAATCAAGTTGTAGAAATTGTACTCAGTTCGTGCGCACACGAAATAAAGTGTTAAAAACCGTAGCGCAACATTGTTGCGGATAAAAAACAATGTTATCAAATGGCTCTTGCAAAAACCATCCGGCGGGACCAATAAACGTCTGGAGTGCACACGAGTCAGTCAATCGGCTGTGTGTATATGTTTTGTCGGACACGATACAACCTTATTGTTGTATTTAATTGGCCCACGTCTTAGCTGCTCATGGTGCCACTCATATCCGGTGGTCACAACTTAATTAAATTGCGGCCGAACGACATGCACTGCTTTGCAATGGCCGTAATTGTCTAGTCGTAGCACCGCAATGTAAATAAGGACATTTATCTATTCTGGACAGCAAACACGTCGACAAATGCATACGTTTTTCGGGTTGTCGGTCGTCATATTGCGGTGTCTTATCGCAAACGTCTTGTTATTAATTAATCATAACTGTTCTCTACGCCTAATCGAATAAGAACCACACAAAGACTAGTCCACGGCGACAATGACGTTATTATTTTATTTGTTTCTACTCTAATAGCTTTACAAACGATATTATTTACAGCAGACGATGACCGCTGATTTGAAAATCATTATTTTATATATTTGTTTGTGTCGAGTTTTTCGACACAAATATCTTTATCTGTCAGATTAATTGTATTGGAAAACCAGACCTAAAATAAATAAAAACCTAATTAAATATGTCTCATACAGTCTTCTCATTAGTAAATGTCATACGAAAATAGTGTGTTTTGAACATTTATGTAGTTCACGGAGTAATTTACAAATAATGTTTTCTGATGATTATTTTTATCAAACCTATGTAATTTGCAATGGTAATTTTTGTACTATTGTAAAATTTAACCGATGGGCTACCGTAATGATATTTTTCGTGTTCAGCATACGAATAAAATAATTGATTATTTTCACAATAATACTTGTTAGTGGATTCCTAATATTACTAATTAGAAAATAATAATATGGCCTTCCATTAACTCAAGCGAAAAAGAACGTTAGTATTTCATTGACCATCATCAATTTCAATTTTTTTTTATACATTTCATTAATGGGAAATACTTTAATTGAAAATCTAATTTAACACGTCAATCATTTGTTTGAAAACTCTCTTTTGATGTGTAACTAAAATGCCCAGGTTTGAAAAAAAGTAATTCTAAGAAAATTTGAACTGGAATACTTCATAATTTCAAATTGATTTTTAAATAACGTGATCCATGGCAAATTAGTTTTCTTTATTTATTAGTATTATATTAGTAACCTGGTACCTTAGTACCCTCACAACACTAAATTCAGTATTTACATATATTCACTTCATATAAAACCAAAATATCACTTAGTACCTCCTACTGTCACCAGGATTATTACAAACTGTTTTAAACAAAGTTTAAATCATTTAGATAAAAAATTTTTTTTTAATACAATTTTAAGTTTTTTATTTATTATTTATTGCTAATGAGATAATATTCAATTAAATATTAATAATATAACAATTCATGATTAATTAATAATTCTTATAATAATTATTACCTATTACATTAAACACATAAATATTGCCCTAAATTGTTATGTTTTTTTTCTTGTTTGACTGCATGTCAAGTATTATACTAAATCTTCTCAAAAATATCATCTATAAAATAGATAAGACCATTTTTTCTAATACTTATTATGTTATATGATTTTAAAAAGAGTTACCAGTCACATTTATATTTAAAAGATCTGTTATTAAGTTTTATAATGTTCATAATGATAATTTATATTAAATTTTTTTAAATAAATTACTTTATTTAATTTATAAGATTTCAATATTACATAATTATTGATTTATTATTGACTTCTAGATTTCTTCTTATATAATAATATTGCTTAAAAAAATTAATTAAGAATCAACTAAGAAAATTATTGACCGATAAAAACTTTTTATTCAGTATTTCAGAAGTTATGAAAATGTTTATATTTGGGTGGGAGGAGAAGTACTGCAGAGTGTTGGGCGATGATAAAAATAGCATAACCCCTAGTCTGTATATTAAAGTGTTTAACTGTGTGTTAAAGTGTTTATAACGTTCAATATACTGGTTCAAATATTGGTATCGACCAGTCATTTTTTTAATTGGATTATTTTTTATTATATAGACAAGTTAAATATGTATTGCTGTCATTTAAAAATTGAATTGTTACATTTATACGTATAATACAGACTGCGTTTTTTTTTTTAAATAATCTTCTAATAATGTTATTATAACATTTAATGTTATCAAAATGTTGTATATTAATTTTTGAAATTTCTGTCTGGAAAGGGATAAGGGATGGACCTAAAAACAATTATAAATTAAGAAAAATGTTTTCAAAATAATTATTATTTTTAGAAAAATTTAGTGGTCAACAATAAATCAATCATATTGTATAAAACCTGTATTTATCTATGTATAAAACATTTAGATCTGACTATACTGTTTTATGTTTAAAAAAAAGAAAAGTATATTAGTAGAAATAGTTATATGGTAGTGGAACGAGAACATATAAAAAATCATAGAGAGTAAGAAAAAGCAGTTTAAAGTATGACAAAAGAGCAAAAGGAGAGAAGATTGTATAAGTATAAACGCTTGTGTAAAGAAACCAAGTGTGCGGTAAGTAAGGCAAAGTTTAAGAGGTATGATAAGTTGTTCGTTAGGCAAGGAACTAAGGAAGGCGAAAAAGAAGTCTATAGACTGCAAAAGTAAAAGGAAAACAGTCTAAAGATTATAACAATGTAAGGTGTATAAAAAGTGATGATAAGAAGGTGCTGATAACGAGCGATTACATTGAAATTAATATTCTTTAAACATAGTCCATTACTAAAAAAATAATTTTACAAAATAGTAGAACAGTGGGGAGGTGGTACTGTATAGTTGGGTCAAGTATATCTGACAGTGATTAAAATCACTATCATAAAAATCGCTTTGATGCAAATCTGTAGATAGTGTTTATGTTTAAAAAATTGATGTATTATTCCAAAAGCTGCATGATCTCCTATTTCCTTATTTATATTATTATATTAAGTTTTATGTTTCATAAGTGTAATATATGAATATATATATAAAGGGAAATGGTTTTATTTAAAATAAAGGTATGTCGAATGAAAAAGGTATATAAATAGTATTTATCATAAAAAAATTGTATTGATCTATATATTTCTTAAAAAGTTATAGCATTATAAAATTAAAAAATATAAAATAGAATTTTTTTACATTTAAAACCCCCCTGTATAAAGGGTAATAGTCCAATTTAAAAGAAAAGTATGTCACATAAAAAAAGAATATAAATAGTACTTATCTTAAAAAATTTTTAATGATCCAGACATTTTTTAAAAAGTTATAGCATTATAAAGTTAAAAATATAAAAAAGAATTTTTTTACAAAAATCGTACTTTTTTTATAAAATTTGATGACTATTTTCATCATGAAAACAAAATAAAGTCCGAAATTTTTTTTTTTTTATAATAAAGTATATTACATAAGCTTTAATTCAAGATATATATATATAAGTGTCAGTATTTCCGGAACACTTTCTAAACTTAATTTTAAAAAGTTAATTTTTTGTGAAAAAGTTGTCATTTTGAATCCCTTCCTGTGGGCAGGTAAAGGGTCATATTTATAAAAAATAAATACAAAATGATAGGTAAATACCTCATGTATCTATGAAAAAAAAAATTATATAGATTTTGTCATTTTTAAAAACGTATGGTAATTTTAAGTAAAATGATTGAAAAAATGTCAAAATTTAGCGATTTTTAAATTTGTAATTTTTTTGGATATTTTCCCCATTTAAGGTGAACGAGGGAAATTTTTCAATTTTTGAGGGTAATATCTTCAACTAGATACGATTTGTCATCTTTTAACGTATTTTTGAAAAAAAATCGGTTCGATGAGCTGATAAAAAGTGGTAACAGACACCCAAAAAAATAAAACACATCATAGTAAAATTAATACCTTCTCAAATTCGCTTCAAAGCTTAAAAGGTGAGAAAAATATTTTAAAAAATCACTATGAAGACTATCCATGAGTGACAATATCTCATGGAACGAGAGACTGGTAGATTTAATTAGTGAGAAAGAGATATGGGAGGCTGTGGTGTCAATGAAAAGGAATAAAACTTTAGGATTAGATTAAATGTCAGTAGAAGTATGGAAAAATTAGGCAGTGTTGGCATAAGATGGTTTAAGGATCTTATAAATAAAATCTAATTCTAAGGGGAAATCCCAAATGAATGGAGGAATAGTATTATGGTGCCGATATTTAAAGGTAAAGTAGACATACAGGAGTGTGGAAATTATAGAAGCATAAAGCTTATGGGTCATAGTATAAAATTTGGGAAAAGGTAATAGACAAAAAAATAAGAGGAAAAACATTAATAAGAGTTCTTTACTTATATTTGTCTCGGAAAGGCAACGATAGAGCCATTATTTTGTGTAAGACAACTAATAGAAAAGTATAGAAAAATGAAGAAAAATGAAGAAAAAGCTGTGTATGGTATTTATAGATTTGGAGAAAGCGCATAATAGAGTACTGAGAGAATTTTTAATGTGGTTATTAATGAGAAAATGAGCCCAAAAAAGGTACATTAATATATTAGAGGGTGTGTATGATGGCACTTGTACCAGAGTAAAGAGTGGGCGGAGTAACAGTAAATCTTAGGGTAAGTGTAGGAGTGCACCAATGTTTTGCTATAAGACCTCACTTATTTTCTATAGTGATGGGTGAAATTACTAAAGAAATACAAGGAGAGGTACCGTGGTGCATGATATGCGTTAACGATAAAGTATTAATAGAAGAAAATAAAAATGAAACTAATCAAAGTCTAGAGGTGTAGAGACCAATCTTGAAGGAAAGGGATTAAGAATAAGTCATAGTATATAGAGAACGAGTTTGAAAAAGGAGAGCACGAGGCAGGTGATATGAGGAGATCAGTGACAATAAGCGAGAATGTTTAGGAGAAGTGAAAAGTTTTGAATATTTAGGATTAGTTGTGCAAAAAAACGGTGGTATTGACGAGGATGTAAGACACAGGATTAACTACGGGCGTCTCAAGCGTCTGGTATGTTTTGCGATAGTAGGATTCCAATGAAGCTGAAAGGTAAGTTCTAAAACACTATAGGTAGACCAGCTATAATGTATGGAAGAAGAGGTAGAGGAAGACCAAAAAAGAGATGGAGGGTTTTAATGTATACGATATGAGGACGGCTGATGTGAAAGTAGATGATGTGAGAGATCGTGTCAAGTGGAAGTTTAGGATAACCGATCCCAAGTAGCTGGGATAAAAGCAAGAAAAAAGAAAAAATGCAATAATTAATAGAACTTGTTTTTATGAATACATGATATAACTTAATAATTTAAAGTCGAATAAAGAAGATAAAAATAATATTAAAAAAGTATGTATTATTTATTTAATTAATTAGTTATTCTGTGTATTTGATAAATACTTTAATACCTTAAATAAATTTTGTCTCACACAAGATTTAATATTACTATTTCTACTACAAAATGTTTTATTAATACTATTTTTCTCAAATATTCAATGTATTTAAATTAGAATATTTTCTAATCAAAAATATATTTTAAATCATGTTTAAACTCGTTTAAAGGTTTTTAAGACATCAAAATTTTTAATATAAAAAAACTGAATATAACAAGAAAACCAGACTTTTAATCAAAAAAGCTTTTATTTATTTATTTATTTATTTATTGTTTTGCAAACATGCTGTCACTAACCGGATTATTTGATACAGATAAGTAATGTGCCAATAGACCATTATTGTTGTTTCAATGATAAATATAACTATATTTAAGAGTGGCTGGAGCACCATTGTCATACAAAACTATATTTTGATAGCATTCTGAAAATTTAGTTATTTTTGAAATGTATAGCAATGTTTAATCAGTTATTGAATTAAAACTTTTTTTTTTGAAATTTGTTGAAATTTTATAAAACAATAACCAAAAAAAATAAAATAAATCTTTGTTTATTTAAGTACATTGAACTTGGTTTATAATTGTTGAGCTAAATATTATTTTAATAAAGGCTATAAAAAAAAAATAAAAAAAAAAACCCAGCACAGGGGGGTCGCGGCACAGTGGTGACGTGCCATAGTTGGATCAAGTATAATGATATCTGACAGTGATTAAAATCACTATCAAAAAAAAACGCTTCGATGCAAATCTTTAGATAGTGTTTAATTTTAAAAAATTGGTGGATTATTCCAAAAGCTTCATAAACTGCTAGTTCCTTATTAATATCCTGATTAAGA